GGGCTAACTATGGGGATCGAATTTAGGGTTTTAGGGTTCAGGGGGCTAACTATGGGGATGGAATTGAGGGCTTTAGGGTTTAGGGCTAACTATGGGGATCGAATTTAGGGTTTAGGGTTTAGGGCTAACTATTGGGGATCGAATAGGCTTGCGTTCACTCTCGTAGTGGATCCCTCTTCCCTCTTTCTTTCAGGGGCCCTAGTGTTTTCTTCAACAGTTTGATCGGCCTCAGGGTTGAGATAGTAGCCATAAGGGTCCAAAGGACACAATAATGGGATACTTAGGTTTCGGATAGTAGATTTAGTAGTTTCTGTAGGTTACTATGTGGGAGAATACATGATTGCTAGGTACTTGGACCCTTAGGGTAGCCTTCCGGAGGCACGGTGAGCTCCAAACTATGCAAGCCGCTGCATTCTAAACCCTTCAAGACCCGCGACCAGGCACCCTTCAAAGCTCGAACTTGCCATCATAGCCAACCACCCCAACTGCTAATTCTACCCTGATAAATGAGAAGCACCCATCCCCTCCTACCTTAAAGGCCTAATTACAGCTATTGTATCCCGGATAGAAACACTCCAGCCCGTATGGAAATCTTGTAGAACCATCATAGAACTCCAGATGGTAAGCCGTACACCTTGATGAGGTCAAAGCAGGTATGGCGGAGTTGAGAGCAATGGTGGAGTTTGACCTGTGGTGCCACGGTCTTTTTTTAAGGTGTATCCTAGGATATAGGTTTTCATCTTTCAGGGTTTAGGGCAAGGCTAGTATTTGCATACTGATACTACACCAGCATATGTGTACTACTGCAGATAACGGTGTAGAATGATGTTTGATACGGTGTGCGTGCATATTATAAGGCTGTCATTTGTGTTCGGGTGGAGTGACGGCGTTTGATGGTTTCGGGGCCGTGCAGAATTCAGTGGTCTTGGGCTGTGGAGGACAGAAAGTGCGGGAATTTGGGGTGCCAGGGTTTAGAGTCGGGTTTAGGGTTATAGGGACGGTTTTGCTTTAATAGCTTTCGGGCTTCGGGGTTGAAGTCAATGACATTAGGACTACCACTGCAAACTAAGAATCTGTTTGGATTTGTCGTTCTCCGTGAAAGTAATTTATCCTGCTTGCTCTTTCGAAAGTCGACAGACTTTCGCCAGCGTCACCTCATAAGCTTGCTCTAACACTTATAAGTAAGTCCTAAACCCTAACCCGGACCCCGAACTAGGGAGTTAAACCTCTGGCCCAGCCGAGGCGCAAGAAGCTTCTTCCCGATGCCAAGTCCCTCATGGGCCAGTCTTTCCACATGCAGTTCCTTGGAAATCCAGGCGCTGTCTGTCCCAACCTACACCCGAGACCCTAAACCCCGGAACCCGGACTCCCGAAGCCTCGCAGCATCATATCCCTAAAACCCTAAAGCCCGAAACCTGGACCTAAGCACTATAAATGCTGAAACTGTACACCGTAACGCCGAAGGCTGGCAGCACCTGCGAAATCTTTAGCTTTCGACTCGGATCTGTCGTCCCGGGGCTCGGGGTTCAGGGTGGGTGGTCTTAAGTATAGGGTTTAGTGTTTAGGTTGATAGGGTTCAGAGTCTGGGAACTATAGTGTGTGGGGCGTACATAGGCATCTGTGCCAAGTCGTCCCCACCAGTTCTCTAGTCTCCATCCTGCCTACAGGTCCCCCAGACGCTGCAAGTATCCTGTACTTCTTCCTTGCTCGATAGTCTGTACTATGCATGGCTTCCTATCAAGTTTTAAGCATGCTTTGTGGCTGTACACGAACGCACTGGCAACACCAAGACGATTCAGCACACGAGGATTTGGGAGTTTCCGAAAATAGGGGACCCGAATATAGTACCCTAAATAATAGGTGCCTTCTTATAAGGACCCCCAAATAAGGTACCCTAATTTTTGGAAACTCCCATTTGGGAGGGTTCAGGGGGCGGACGGCAGGCACTGGAAAGACCGTCGTCGCACGCATCGTCGGCGAGCTTCTGGTCGAGATGGGGGTCATCAAGAAGGCGGGCATCGAACAAAAGGTATCAAAAGCGTTCCGGAATAGTCCCTGCATACTCAACTAAAATCTGCCAGAAAGTATCCAAAACACTCTTCCCCATATAGTGAGCCGATGATTCGTACACCGTGGAAGGCCAGGGATTCTTTCTGAAAGGCCTCGTACCTGAATGTGAGAGACCTCAACTTCGGGATCGCGCAGAGTTTGCTGAAAGCCTGCGTAGCAATCAAATTTAAAAGTATCTTTATTTCATACATATACGAATACATGTACGTATACGTATACGTATATACATAACGTATACAGACATAAATATACCCAACCGCATGCTCTCCCGCTAAAAAGGCATATATATATATATATATATATATATATATCGTGTAGGCCACATAGTGATGCCCTGTTGTGGCCTTTATCTTTTGAGTAGATCAGCGAAGACACTCTTCCTGATTCTTGACCCAGGTGTTCCAGACGGCTCGAAGAAAGTTTGTCGTTCAAGGCTGTAGAGCCCCCTATCCGTTCATATATATATATATATACGCATATATATATATATATGTATATATACACAGTACACAGTTGTATATATATATATATACATACACATACAAGTATATGCATGTAGTTTGACATACAGCTACATACATATGCATAATTGTAGTTGGGCAGAGGCTCTGGACACCACCAAACCTCCCCGACACTACATCAACTATGGCACATCTAGGTGACATGCGACAAGCGCCGCACTGTGAACTCAACTGCATCCCTAAACCCTAAACCCTAAACCCTAAACCCTAAACCTGAATTTCGCAGACCCATTGCTACCCTACCACGACAGCAAAAGAAATCTGGTTGCAATCTATCAGCCCTACGAACCCTGTAACCCTTTCCTATACCCATCCACCCTTTATAAATGGACATATGCGCATATAGCTATTAAGTATATGTATACGTGTAGGTATACACGTACGTATACGGGCCCGTCTACATTTGAACATACATCATGGGTGTGTGTATATATATATACACACATATATATACCTGCACCCCCCAAACCCTGCGAAATAGTAGGTTATGACCC